CTTGTTACTACTAGTAAGGCACTTGTTACTAGTAGCGATGCACTTGTCCCTAGTAGCGAACCTTCGATCAACATGTCCAGTCGCTCGAGTCTTTCCATCGCATGAAAGTCTCAACCCCAGGAGGCCACACGTTGTGACACGTGAGAGACCTCTCGTGAATTTGGCAATGACAAGCTCGGGGAAATTTGGATCGTTGGCCATGGTGAGGTCTCCTGGTCTAGTAAAAACAAGGGCATCGCTACTAGTAACAAGCAATGGCCTCCAACCTAGAAAGAATGGCCTCTAGTTAGGACGAACTTCAATTGAGCTTGACACTGCCACTTGAGCTTCATGCAGGGCATTAACAAATCATGTTCCCAAAGACTCGTCTGATTTCCGGGACGAACCGCAGAAGCAGATTTCGTCTTTAAATAACGTTTCATAGTTGATGTTTGCTTCTAGGTTGGAGGCCATCGCTGTTAGGTTGGAGGCCATTGTTGGTAGGTTGGAGGCCATTGCTATCAGTTTATGTTTGCTTATGTCTTCTATTTCTGAAACGCCCTTTGGACTGAAACTTCAGGCTCGCCAGGCAACATGATCTCACCAAGCAAGATCCTGGGCATTTCGTCTTGCTGGGACCATCGAAGTAGCGCTATCGCAAAAAGAAAGCATTGAAGAGAAACAAAGGAAAAAAAAGAAAACAACACAGAAAAACCCAGGTACTAGTAATTAGTAGCGTTCCTGCATGTGCGAACAGCCGTTTCTGGAAGTTACATCTCTCGCAATCTCCAAGGCTTCACGTTTGCTTCTTGTTTGCTCAAGAACAAGTGCCGTCCGACCGTGGAGAGAAACTATCACAAAAAGGAGATCGGACTACTAGCGATAGCCTCCACTCTAGTTGCGATGGCCTCCAACCTAAGAGCAATGGCCTCCAAGCCCTTCTGCCCCTCAAAATCAGGGACTGTCTGGAAATGTCTGGAATGTTTCCTTTGTTTCAACTGTTTCAAACGATGCTGCAACATGTAACCTAGCACTAGGTCACAAAGGGCCAAAATGAAAGAGGAAAAAGAGGAAGCACAAAAGGATGTGCGGTTGGATTGGCAAGTGCGAAATCCTTCTAAACATGTGACCATTTATCTGTGGACTTCTCACTTTTCGCTGCAGTGCTGTGTTGGCAAGTCGATGCGGTGCAGGGACGGTCGCCGGTTGCAAAGAGAAAAAGAGAACGATGCCAGGAGCCCCTAGTAGCGATGCCCTTTGCTCCTAGTAGCTTCTTGTTACTACTAGTAAGGCACTTGTTCCTAGAAGCGATGCACTTGTTACTAGTAGCTTCTTGTTCCTAGTAGTAAGGAAGACTTTTAAAGAGAAAGGTCCACATCAAGAACAAATACAGATTCAGCCTCACCCGATGTTGACAATTGAGTTCAAACTTTGATTGTGCTCGTGTTCAAGCACCTTACACTTGCGTGCTTGGCGGCGTTTCGGCGGCTGCCGAAGCCCACACCAATGTTAAAGTACGTGCATCATTGACAGCAGCGGGAGCTTTTCTATCATGCTATTAGGTTGGAGGCCATCGCCATTAGGTTGGAGGCCCATCTAATCCCGCTGCGCCAGCTGGTGTGATGTGATTGGATGGAATGGGCGAGGCCGAGGTGCGTTGGTGCGCTGGTGTGATGTGATTGTAGTTTCAGGCATAGCAATTGCTGCTGTCACACCTCTTCTGGTGTGTGGACAATCCACTTGTCCAATATCGTCGACAATCGTTCCTCACAACTCGATTGGCCTTT